TCCTGTCCCATTTACTAGGCAGTAGGTGCTGTGATCAATGGGGGTCTGTTTCCTTATTGATCAGAAAGCAGGGGACTGACAGCCGACCCTCTCTCATGAGCAATGTCTGGTGTGGTAAGCAGAAGGTGGATTCTTGTTGCTTTTCCATCTTGTGCTAGAGATTGCTCATCTTGTGCCAGACATTGCTCAAAATAGTGAAGGAGGGACTCCAGATGTTTCTAGATCAATGGACTACAGACCACTGCTGCTCTCTGCTAAATGGGGTTTGGGGACTTTCAGTCTTCATATATATCCTCTATAATAGGGCTATGTAGGGATCATGAATAAAAAATAGTCATAGCTGTGTAATTCAAGTTTTCAACACATTTGAAACTGCATAGCACAATTTTGGACAACAGAAATGCTAGCAGTTGAAAAAATCTTAACCAGATATAGAAAAGATTTTAAAGTATGCACTAGACAAATGCTTAGATGTGCTAATGCTTTTCTTTTGTTTGGAGCATGGCCTTTGATCAGAGTAGAAGGTTTTAAAACATGAAATCGTTTGTGTGCTCCAGTTCCTAATAAAATTAGCTTTTCAATCATGATTAATGGTTTCCCCAAGATCACATCGCCAGTATCAGCACCTTAACATTGAACAGGAAACAAGGAATCAGTGCTCCTCTCTTTATTATTGAAGTGACAAACTTGTCTGTATCATGATCGTCACTGACTGGGCATTCCTCTTTGCATCTTACTAGTATTGGCCCATAAGCTATTCTCTTACAATAGTGTCCTCCTTCTGCCATCTGCTCTGAGAGTTGTTAGGAGTTTCTTTTCGAGCTGGCCAATCAGGCTGCTTAGCGGACTTCATGGGGCTCTTTGGATAGCTGAAGGTTTCTCTCTGGTCCACCAGAGTGTGGACCAGAGTGGAGTGTGGCCTTTTTATATCACATTCTCTATTTGAACTTTTTCACTCATTTTTCCTTTGTTGAAATGAGATGTTTGTGTTCTGTGCTGTATTTCTCATGCTTTGTGTGACTGCACATTGCTGCTAGCCAATTGGACTGAGGAAGATTTTTACTACTATTACTACTACTACTACTACTAATAATAATAATAATAATAATAAATTTATTACCCATCTCTCCTTGCAACTCAAGGCAGAATACAACATAATTAAAACAAGAGATAAAACACTATTAAAAGACACAACAAAATATACAGAGTTAAAATACAAATTAAAATCTATTTATAAAGTGCAGATTAAAATTTCCAACTTAAAATTGGCTGGGTAAGTCTGCCGAAGAGATGAGTCATCAATTGTGTCTTAAATTCTAACAGAGGATCTAGCTTCCTAACAGACTTCCAACAGTCTTGGGACAGCTCATGAAAAGGTCCTCTGGTCAAGTCTGGTTCTGGCAGGCTGGAGTAGATGTTCCCCCAGAAAAACCCCAGTGTTCATTACGGGAGAAGGTGATCCTGTAGGTGACCTAGACCTAAGATATGTAGGACTTTAAAGGTCAAAAACAACACTTTGTACTTTGCCTGGAATAGGACAATTCACCTTTATTGTGAGAATGGTTTTGTCTCCTCTATGACAATGCCTAACCTATTGCTATATGCACATAATTAATGTTTTAGGGTTGGGATTTTGTTTTCATTGAAATAAACTAAAGGACAACAAATTAAGAGTAACAACTAAGCAAAATTCAATTCCTAACTTTCTAATATTTATAAATAATAAAATTCTTGGCATATGAAGTCTTCTGGGTGCTGTAAAATACAGAAAATAAAGGGAGAACATACAGGATGAATACAGTAAAATTCATAAGTAACAGCAGTTGACTGACATGAAAACAAGTAGTGTTTCATCATTATGAGCTTAGGCAAAAATAATTGAATTTTGTTCATAATTCTTTTCCTCTCCTGAAATGTATGTCATGTGGTGACATATTTACAATGGAATATCCAGATGTACAAAGATTATGACTATAACTATGTTGCCCAAAGGAAAACTAAAATGAGATAACTTTTCATGTCTGAGATAAAGTGGTTCACTAGACTCAGTGATCTAAAGATGAGTAATAAATTCAAATGTTTTACTCAAATGGGTCTTGCACCTCTCATCTTTATTCATTGCAGCTTTGACCTGCTTTGCCTTCAGGGTCTGAAACTGCCTCATATGACTCTTAAAACATTGTGATCAAAGAAAATACCCTTCAGTTATATTGCTAATGTTTAGGAACACTAGCCACTATTGGGGGAAAGCCACCATTCATTTGCTACAGTTGTATCAGCTATCATTAAAGGTTCCACTCCATAAACCATATAATATGGAATGCCTCTTTGAATTGTATCATACCTTTAAAATATTGATAGTCACTAGGCTTGTCCACTGTTGAAAAACATGAGACTTTATTTGATCATGTAATTATGGGAGATGCTGAAAAATAATTTATTTACTATGCCTATAATCCACCAAGCACCACTTTTGCACAATTTACTTTGATTCTACGTAGTGATTGCATGGCAACAGTACTTGATGGGACTGTGATCAGTAATTATATGACACTCTCTAATGAGGTCTGTTTAGAACAGGTTGTTTCTTACTTAATTGTTTAATTAGGTGAAGTCAAAAATGGAATATGGCTTCACATTTACCGGAAACCATCCAGTAGAACAAATTGAATTTTGCATACAGTAGATGATTTTAATTTTGTTTGTCTCATGTTTCAATAATAACTCCACATTTAAATGGATGTTATTCAAGCTATTTGTATTTCTGAATGCCAAACTGGAGGAAAACACACAGCACTGATTTTTGTGAGTGCCTCGGGGATTATGAAGCACAGGCATGGAAATATGGCATTGTTTTGGTCCTTATGTATTGCTATCAATATTTAAATACATATTCAAAACATTTCAAAGTCATTTAAAAGATGTGTAGTTTTACCTGGATGTAAGCTATATAGAGTTCATGGAGTTGTCATATACTAACTGTTGAATTGCATCCTTGTCATAGTTCAGCAGTTTTGTTTAGATGATAAATAAAACAATTCATTCAATTCCCCTTAGCAGTAAAGTTCAACTCCTATCAGTTTGCAGTGGAAACAAATTGGACTCACACAGAAATAAGGTTTTGGTTTCTACCTACTTGAGTATGTAGAACATCCTAGGTATGAAAATGTATATAAATTGATTCATTAAAAGAAAACGTGTTTTAAGAAGTCTTGATACAATCTTGAAAAATATGGGGTTCCATTTTCATGGCACATTCACAATAGTTGTTTAAGAAATTTTACAGTCATTTCTTTTGCTTGGAGACAGAAGTTTAGAAACTTTTCCCATTCTTTTCCCTTTTGGGATGGGAATGAGATTGCTCATACAAAATAATTAGCATTTCAGGACCAGTTCTGATATGCATAATATAGGGATGAGTCAAGAGATATTGGAATCTTCTAGACTTTTGAGGACCAAGATGTCAAGAATGTCTGGAATGTCTGTGGTTCATTGTCATCACCAGCCACATATTTTTTTCCTTCCAGCCTAGAATCTAAATAACAGGACATTTCTGTTCCTTTTTGCATTATTTATAGGTTTCATCAATAGAAGAAAATGACATTAACAGCTAGAAAATCAGATCTGTACATCCATGATAGGGCAGTTCAGAATCATAAGAACTTGAACCATGATGCCTAGCCATCTGTAACGTGCTGGATATGCTTTGAGGCCCCCTTGGAATTTGGCCATAAGCCATGCAACAGCTGACATCTTAGAGCCAGATTCCAATAACACATTAGTTATATGGATCTCATCACATTAAGGCTGGGATTCACCACACCCGGCTGAGGGTATGGGTAGCCTATTGCACCATATCACCCACCTTCTTCATGTCTGAAAGACAGAACTCGTAACAGAGGGGTTAACTCAGTAGCCTTTTTGCCAATTGATTCAAATCATTTAAATAACAATTGCATATGACTCTAACCCCCTCTAACACTTTCATTTTATGCTACCCTGAAACTGCACCCATTTTCCTGCTTCTGTCAAACTACTTTCAGGGCCCTTCCAGAGAAGATCAAATTGCAAAAGGAACCAGGATTTAAAATACTGGTTCCTTTCATGATTTAGGCAACACAGCATCCCCAAACACGAGGTTTTCCCTGGGGGGGGGGGGTCATCAAGCCAGCCCCCAACCCTCCATTTCCCTTCTAAACTTACCTCAGGGGCCTGGCTATGTCTTCAGGTCCCTCAGAGAAAGTCCATGATGGGTTGGGAGCTTTGGAGAGAGGAGGAGGGATTTCAGGAGCTTTCTCGAAGGGGCTTGAGGATGCAACCAGATGCCCCAGTAAGTTTAGAGGGAAACAGGGGGCTGGGAGGAGAAGATGGGAATGCTACCCTGCTCCTTTGGGCTCTTAGAACCCAAAGAACTGGGATAGCAATGAGGATTGGCCCTCAGAATCTCAGAAGGCAGTCCTGAGAGTCAAGCTCCAAAGGCCCAACTCTTCAGCAATAAGATCCACATCTGTTGAGTGTTTTTTTTAATCTGGAGTAAACTGGGAAATCCCAGTTTCCTCTGGATTAATTTGCAACCCATCACAAGTTTTGGGCCTGTGTGAAAGAGCCCTAATAGATTGAAGAAAAATGTGAATGGATAACCAGCTATATTCACAGAGATTTCATGTGATCATGATGTCCCAATGTCACATGGAAAAAGCCTTTGGAAGTATATTTGGCTCCATTTTAGATTTCCAACTCACAGAGATCAAGGACAGCACTGGAATATGCCTGTGGGGAATGAGTGTGCACCAACAAGGCTCCTGAGTGTGTCTGGGTTGTATTGGGAGTGGGGTTTTGAAAGGGAGGATATTCTTTGCAGCCATAGTACATGCACAAGTACTCTGTGTGGTAAAATATAAGCCTGTGTAGTAGAATATAAACTAGTGGGATCCCAATTATAGTTAGCCTACTACAAACACCATATTTAATTTCTGCTGTTTTGTGCTTTTCTGTAACAGTTTGTGATCTGCCATGTCAGAACGGAGGGACATGTATCGCTCAAAACATCTGTTCCTGTGTTTATGGATTTGTTGGTCCCAGGTGTGAGACAAGTATGTATGGTCGTTATTAAGGCTTTTCCACATTTTAGAAAGAAATTAAAAAATAATATGTCAGTGGAAATGGGAAGGTGGGCAAATAGCTCATGTTTTGTGAACTCTAGATATCCTCAAAATCTGCTCTACACAATAAAGAGATGCTATGGAGCAGCTTTTCGGAAGCCACAAAAAGATCTCATCAAGCATTTGGAAATCCGCCTGTGCAGAGCTGGGCTGTATCCTGGTCTACTTATTTACATTCTTTTTCTTTTGAACAGGTCATTATTATTTTTCATCAAATTTAGCCTACAATGCATTAGGGAAGTGAAGTTATATTCAATGTACTGAAGACTAAATAACACCTTCACCCCTCCCCTGTTATGCTTTCCAAGAGCGCATTAGTAATGTAAAACATATGGACCTCTTTATTGGCATTTGTTGTGTAACCACACTAATGGTGGAAGAAGCTTTGTTTATGGCAATGCTTATGAAATTCAAGGCTATGCAAGCAAATGCATTAACGCTCCAAATATAAAAACAGGAAGAACCAAACACTGCCATTAAGATTCAAGCTATTATTCAGCACAGGCAGTAAAACATGTTCAATACATAGCCAGTAGCTTTAGAAATATGGTTCCATCAAAACTATTTATATCATAGTTGAGTATTTTATAATTTTAATGTCAATTTTTGAATGTTTATAATTGTTTTAATTGTTGTTTAACTATTATTGTTAATTTGATGTCCTGCATCTAATGGTTATCTATTGTAAGCTGCCCTGAGTCCCTCCTTGGGGGTGAGAAGGATGGGTATAAATACTTGAAATAAATTGAGTAACAATTACAGGCAGTCCCCAATTTATGAATAAGGTTTTGTAGGTTTGTTCTTAAGTTGAATTTCTATGTAAGTTGGAACAGGTATATTTTTAAGTGTAATTCCAGTCAAAAATTAATTAATTTTATATCTATCTATATATGCATGTTTGGATAGAATAGGGAAGGGTTAACTTCCCCATTGTTTTTGTTTTGCTGTCTGTGCCCCTGTTCAGAAGACTTCACCTCACTTTCTGTCCCTGCGATAATTGGATTTTGAAAAAATTGTTTTGTTGTGGAAACAAGGGTTGGTGGGAAAGCTTCAGTAGAGACACCTTTTCCCCATGATAACTCTTCCAGGAGTGAATTTCTCTTCTGAGGGATAGATTTTGCTCATTACCTGTTATCTCACCCTTGTTCTTAACTATGAGATGTTTGTAAGTCAGATGTTTGTAACTCGGGGGCTGCCTGTATTACTGTGGTTTTGATAAACTCTTTGCACTGTGGTGGTTGAAGATAGATTGCCCTGATGTTTTTTCCCCAGGGGTTTTTATATGTGTAGAATATTATAAAGATTTCTCTGTATAAGCTAAAGGTTGGAAAAGAGCAGCCACAGAGATACATGCAATCCTCAAGGTTCTTTTTGCCTTTCAAGCCTCTGAAACTCCTGTTGACCGACCATTTTCTGTGTATATGTATGTGTGTATTGCTTCTCCTATAAGCCACCACAATTTTGGAATGAATATAATACTTGACTGCATAGTTTCACGTCATGGGCAACTTGTAAGTGTTTCTCCACTTCAAAACCAAACTTTTCATTTCTTTTTGGCAGTCTTTGTGTCTTTGGTGGGCCCCAAGGTCAGACAATTGGGTCCATGATCTTCAAAAGTTAGCTAAAGGAAGACAGTGGCAGATCACCTCTAAGTATTCCTTACCTAACAAAACACTATGGAATTCTCAAAGTCATCTTGAAGGAACATATTTATATCATAGCCTATTATATGAAAACCTACATAGCCTATTTTGAAACTTATTTAGCCTATTGTATAGCCTATAGATTCACTGAGATCATAGGCCAAAACTGAAAATGCATGTTAGTGAATCATCTCCTTTAATCCATATACAAAATGGTGTAATGTTCCCCTCAAGATGTTATTGTCTTGTGGAAATCAAGTAAACCCTGATATAACTTTTTAATTAAAAAAAAAACCCCAAACCATTAACTTCAGTTTTAAAAAAAATGAAGGTCTTACCTAATATCTCAATGTTAGTGTTAATGCCAAAAAGCTTGAGGCTGTTTCACTTGCTGCTCCACATTGTGACTGGCACAGTTTAAACCAAAATAAAATGAAATGAAAATTTAGAAATTAAAGAGTAAATATTAATACTTTGCAGAGCTAATCTTGGCCTCCTCTGTTTTTCAGTGATATGTAACAGGCACTGTCACAATGGGGGGAAATGTGTAGCACCAGATGAATGTGAGTGCAAGCCAGGATGGAACAGCCCTTTCTGCGAGACAGGTAAACACATAGAGGACCTTCCCTCCCCACATGACTGAAGGCCCAGAAACCACAAGGGTCCTGCAGCTTTTTTCTGGGCCCAACAAAAGCTTTTTTTAAAAAAAATCTCCACAATTGCATTGCAGACATTACATATTTTGGTCAAGATATAATGGAATACAGTGGTACCCTTGCTTTCCCTCCTCCTTGACTTCCTGTTTCCTGAGTAGGAAATGTTATTACTTTGACGATATATGTGGAGTATCTTCCATAAGCTTTTTAAGCAATTTCTCCTGCCCCTATTTTAATTGATGCCTCTTTGCTCCTGCTATTTAAGATCCTTGCAGTTCTGGCAGCTGGTTGTACATCAAACTAGACGTGACATTATTTAACATCAATACATGGTGATTAAATGAGAATGACAAAAGCTCTTTTGGACACAGTTCTCCTTCCCAAATAACATGACACCATTTTTTTGTCCTTTGCTTTTTCTGGACCAAACTCATTTAGGGCCCTTCTGCATATACATTATAACCTGGGTTAAATTGGGCTAAAGTTGAAGTGGCTAAATGATGTTTAGCCAAAATGCCAGGAGGAATCGGATTAAAGACTGGAAAACGTGTTTAAAAGCTGCCCTTTAAACCTAGTTCCTCCTGAGAAGCACACACATTTTTACATGCCTGTGTAAAAATGCAGACATGGAGAACACATGTTTTCCTTCCTTCCCTCCAGTCTGGACTCCCTCCTGCCCCCCAATTCCCCCTCAATTTATGGTGGAAGCCTTCCATGCAGGCCTGAGGCCTTTGCAGAGGAAAATGGAGGGCAGGGAGGGGGAGGTGGGCAGTCCCAATGCCCACTCCTGCTTATCTCAGATCAGCAGGGGTGAGTATCTGGATATTGCTCCTGTAAAAGTATGGGGTTTAGGCCAGCTATGTGGCCTCTATCCCAAGAGGAAGTGAGATTTAAAATCCCAATTCCTCTTGGGTTTCTTTCTTCTTCTTCTTCTTCTTCTTCTTCCTCTTCTTCTTTTTTTTTTTTTTTTTTTTTGCCTGTCTGGAAGGGTCCTTACTCAAATGTCCTGGGCCTTATACTGCTCAGGATTTCAAATTCTCCATTTATTCATTTGGCAAGTAAGGATGAAGTAAACTGGACAGGTATGCATGGATGAATGGAATCCCCCCCCCCCCAACTATTCTGCATGCATCAGTTCCATTTCTTACCTTTATATCTTCAGTGCAATGGTCTGAGCATATTCAGTTGAATACATTTAGAATTATTCCTATGATCAGAACACTATTTCACACAAATATCTTGACTATCTGCTTATCATGTTTTGGTATGACATAAAAGGCCTTAGTGTCAGTCATATCAAAAAGCCATTAGTTATTAGTTAAACTGAGGAACCTCTGGCAAAACCATTCTCTGAATCCCTGGGAAGCAATTTCCAGTAAGTGTGGGGCAATACTGATCTAGACAGTTGCTTTGCCTAACCATAAAGCAACTTCCTATATTCCTAAGCTATGACTTTGAACTCTGCTTCAGAACTTCAACACAGTAATGCCACATACTTGGTAATATATCAAGCCAAACAGAACACCCCTCTGAATGAATGCCTGTATTTGCAATCTGTCAAGACCCCTTCTGTAGACTTGACAGGTCACAATGTAAGAAGGACGGGCTGTGATCAAAGCTCATGAGCTGTGCAGTCTTGCTGCATAGTATAAGCCATATATCTTGAGGTATTGCGATTAGCTCTTCAATATGCCTATTCAGATTTTCCATAACAGTATTCTAAATTTACTACATATAAATCCGGAAAAAAATTAGACAAACATTTACATGTATCAATTTATGCCTAATTCATTTCAGTAATAACTAATAGATACACCTTTCTCAGGAATGTCCCTACTGAGTGTAAGCTATGTATATATTTTTCTCCACTTATTCTAATTATTGATTTCAAATGAGGATTGATTAACACTGGCCATCACACATTTTGGTAGCTCAAATGTTATACCTGTTTCTGGGCATATTTGACTTGCTGATTCCAAAATTGGCACTAGTTCCCTATTAGTTCTAGTTTCTGAAATACAGAATATATTCCATATATTGGTGGTTCTCAGCCTGTGGGTCCCCAAGTGTTTTGACCTACAACTCCCAGAAATCTTAGCCAGTTTACCAGCTGGTAGGATATTTCAGAATTAAAAGCCAAAACATATACTATCTGCTCACCCACAAAAAATCATGATAACCATATCTAAGAAATTGTAGCTGGTGTGGTCTATCCAATGCAGTTTTCTGAATCAGCTCCCCAAATAGCCCCAGGAATATCCCTAAACACCAAGACATTAATAATTGTTTTTGTTGGGCTATGTTCTCTCTCTTTCTTTCTCTCTGTCTGTGTGCATGGAAGCTTAGTTCTAAACTATGTACAAGGGGAGAATCCAATACAGTTCTTGTTTTTTCCCCAATAATTGCATACACACCCACTTAGACATGAACAGGAATTCTCTTGAAAGTAGAGTCTAGGTGGATTATACAAACCACTGATCTCGACAGTTTAGTCCAATAGTGGAATACAGTCTACTCATGCTTCCATGGGCTACTGCTTGTACAACTGGAAATTGCTGGTATATAGTCTGCCTCCACAAATGTTGCCTTAGATTTAGGTGCATGTGTACAACCAATGAATTGTTTAGATCACAGGATTAACCTCAGAATGCAAGTATGTAAATCTATTCCTTTAATCCATAAACCAATAAAAAAAACTGGCTTCCCTTCAGGTATTTTCATCCTGTGGCAGTTAAGGAAACTCTAAAGATTTGTTCTCACAATGCCTGTTTAAATGGTTTATAGACTTTCTTGTCAGGATCCTCAAATTCTTTACAGCAGTGCTAAAATACAATGCACATTTCTTATGCTGTCAACCATATAAATAGGGTGCAGTTTACAGTGGATTTCAGACCTCCACATTTCCAATGACTTGCTTTCACAATACAAAAACAACCCCCCACACTCTAGTTTTCCAAAACTACTTCCAGAACACACATCCATCTAGGAGAAACACTGCAAAACAAATGCAAAGTGACAGATGCTGTAGGTATTATGGAAACAAATCTTAATGACCACGGTCTAATGATCATTTCAATTGCAAGCCTTGTTTAATAAGAAGAGTATTCCCCTTCCCTCACTGACCCCAAATAAAAGGATTTCTTTTTATTTTCCTTTAATGTGCAGCTGTTTGCAATCCTGTTTGCCTAAATGGTGGGACCTGCATTCAGCCAAATACTTGTGCCTGTCCACATGGTTTCCTTGGACCTCAGTGTCAATCTGGTAAGATACAACAATGCAATTCCAATGTTGTAAAGGTAGCTTTTCCTCTCCATTATGTCATCTGCACCAATTATTTAATTTAAAACAGAATGTTTTAATGTTGCCTTGCTGTTAAGATGGCGTGTAGAATAATGCTTTAACTGAAGTGATTAATTCATTCTTTTTTAAACAAAAGCAGGACGTGTGAAAATTATACAGTATTCCGTGTCCCACGACAAACAGATTTGTAATTTGCAATTAACAAAACTTCAACGAATATGTCAGCAAAATGTCACACAGCGTAGAAAATAGCATTTTATTATTCCACATCCCACCACATTCAAAGTTATCTGGGAAAAGCCTGGTATTCACTCACATTAATCTGAATTCAGTGTAAATGAGAAGAATAGCCAATAAGCTACTTTTCTGCTCCACCAGCTAGGAGCTTCAAAATTTCACTGGCATAGAACTCTTTTTTTTTTCCATTGTGGATATCTGATATAACTAGTGAGTTACAATGGCAGGTATTTTGGTCCTAATCACAATACATTTTGCAGTCAAAACACATATAACACATTTATTGCAGGAGTGCTTAGACCCTTATAATAATCTATAATTACTTCTAGCTCAATGTTTTATAGAAGCTTGAAGCAGAACATTTTCAGATGTATTACTAGGGATGAAGAAAAGATGTCCTCTGATTTTCCCTCATCTGCATTCTACTCTTCCTAGATTATAGTTCCGCTATTCTGTACAGCCAATTTTAGAATTATTTCTTTAATTGTAGAACTGTAATTTGCAATGCTTTTCAGCTATTTCAGTGAATGGATTTCTTAAAAAGCCCAGGAGTTCTCTAGAAGGGGGAAAGGTAGCACTGTATTCTGATGCCATGCCAATAAATGAAGACAGAAAGAGGCAGCACCCTAATCACTAAATGAAAATGGCTGCATGATTAGGAGACAGATTGCAGGAGTTCTACTCCACATTGACAAACACAGGGATCTATGCTCTGTGTGATAAGTTAGAGTGGCATGCCTTGCCCTCAGCTCTGCCAATGCAATTTCTCACATTCTTCTCAAGCCTCAATTTGCTGAAAAGCTGAGTTAGGGAGACAAATTGGTGAGAATTTCCTTTCCGTTTCTTTTGAATTGGAACTTACTAAACTTCACAGCTAGACTTACATCTTCTGGAAATAGAATTGAACAATTTCACAACATTTGTATTCAGCAAAGTATTGCTGTTGTGTTGCTACACAGAGGAGAAAGCCACAAGCCTGTTGCACATTGGGCCAGAAATAACAGTAGGACCCAATGCACAGCACCTGATGTGTATCAGGATTAATGCACAATGGAACCCAATACACAGAGGGACACTGGCTAGCAATCCTGATGGACATTAGTACAGTCTGGTGTACATTGGGATGCTCGTGTTGGTCACCGATTACACATCTTTGCAACTTGTGATACCTCTGCACACTTTGTTGTTTATTTGTTCAGTCACTCCCGACTCTTCGTGACCTCATGGACCAGCCCATGCCAGAGCTCCCTGTTGGCTGTCACCACCCCCAGCTCCTTCAGAGTCAAGCCAGTCACTTCAAGGATTCCATCCATCTATCTTGCCCTTGGTTGGCCCCTCTTCCTTTTTCCTTCAATTTTCCGCAGCATCATTGTCTTCTCTAAGCTTTCCTGTCATCTCATGATGTGACCAAAGTACTTCATCTTTGCCCCTAATATCCTTCCCTCCAGTGAGCAGTGAGAATTCAACCCACATCTTCATATTTGGCTGGAAAGAGCCCTCTAAAGAAATGAACATTAATCTATCCAAACTTTGCACACCAAACTCTTAAGAATCTCTGTGTGTTCAACTTTTAGCACTGGATTTTAACAGCCTCACATAGTCTGCTTTTTCCATTTCTTATCACAGTCGTAGTAGAGAGCATGTCCTTTCTCTAGGATTTTTCAGAGTTCCCTGCCAGGCAGATCATCTCAGTTGCTGACAGTTCATTTTCATGAAGATAGAGATTGTTTTGCATCACCAAAGCTGTGCAGTATTTTTATATTGTTCAATTAAAATAATAGCCCAAATGTTATTCAGACCATTATTTTGATGTCTTGGCCTCTTTTTTTATTACACACCAACACCATTTTGTATATATTATTTGGCATTCTTAGTGCTTTTTCATCTTTTAAATCGTAACTTATTCTTTATGTATATTTTTCTAGTTTATTAAGTGTAATAAATTCTATTTGATGCAACTAGTACTGCATTTGACTTGCCAGCTTTTTTCTCCTTTTGTTTTTGAGAGGCTCATCCACCAAGTGAGGCAGGAAACCCCCAGTGATGTAGATCTGCTGCTGTTCTCAGTTTTAACTGGTTCGCATTCTAGTCCTCACCAGCATTGTTGGATATAAGACAATCTTTATCAGAAGTAAACAGTTCAGCAAAAGATCTACAGCAGTGAAAGCATGATGGTCCTTTAGCTGGCAGGTTCTAGCATTCCCTTGTAACAAGTGATAGAATTGGGTTTCTAAGACAATAATTCAGCCTCCCCAATCTCATATCTTATTTTAACAATAATGAGAACTACACAAACTGGTTAATAGCAGGAACATTTTCTACTTGCCTCTACTACCCATGGATCTCTAGTCAGCCTTGGACTGCCAAGCTGAAGCATAACTATCTAACAGGACCTACCAAATCCAAGTAATGCATCTATGCCAAAGAACACCTGTGATGGGGACAAGGACTCTGCTCAGTTTGATCACATTGTACAAGCTTGAAGAGTTGAAAAAAGAACTACATTTGCTCCCACAATGAAAGAATGAAATGTCAAACAGCCATGCTCTCTTCGTTTGTGCAAGTGGTTTGCCTTCTATGGAAGCTTGTTTCTAAACTTTTGTACTTCGGGGCTGGGCAGATACAACTAGATCTTTTCTGTGCTGAACTGTTGAATGTAGCTGGTGATTCTTCTCCTTCTCAGTAACTTCAAAATTTGGAAGTTATCAATTTGCAAGTAAAATATAGGAAATTTGCCAGTTTCTTCATATTTGGGATAGGAAGACCCTGAAACTGAATGCAGGATGAAAGAAACCAGATTATCCCTAGTGATGGCTTTGACTCTTTTCCAATACAATGAGAAGATCTTCAGGATCTTTAGAGCTTGCCTGTAGTCTTGCACAGGTGACTTTTACCCAAAGATGCTTCATTGTAAAACATCAACAGAGGAAATGTAAACTGTACTAATGTAAGTTCTGGATCTCAGTATGTGCATTTGAGGGAAAGAAGAGCCAGCCTGGGCTCCATCATGTCTTTTTTCCAGAAGCAGATGAAAGGCTATCCATATGCATTTAAAAATATATGTTTTGCTAATAGATGTATTTTGTGATGGTGTGTTTTAATGTATGTATTTTATGGCATGCATTTTACACCAATGACTTTTAACTTTGTTGTGCTCTGCCCTGAGCCATGAAGAAATCATGAATAATAATAATAATAATAATAATAATAATAATAATAATCCATCCCAACTGCCACTGAAGGAGAGAGCAGCAACCAACATCTGCTAGAATTGTTCCCCTTTCCCACTGCCATCCCCTTTCATTTGTGCTATGTGACTGATGGCAGAAAATTGTCAAAATAACTATTTGTAACCCATTTTGAGAACCTTTTTCGCTTAAGGTTGGGAAAGAAATGCAAGCAAGCAAGGTCTATGCCTTAATATAAAACCTGCCAGTGAAATTGTTTTTTTTTCCTTTCCTTTCCTTTCCTTTCCCATCCTTTTCTTTTTTTTCTTTTCCTTTCAGCCTTTTGCCATCCTCCTTGTAAAAACAATGGACAGTGTATGCGAAACAATGTGTGTTCCTGCATGCAAGGTTATGTTGGAAGAAGATGTCAGATAAGTAAGTTTTTCTCTTCTCTTTAACTTTCCAAGTTTTTCCCTGCCTTCGAAATACATTGTCACCTAGGAAGGTTTTCCTCCTATAACCATGTTAAACAGAACATTTAGCTTGGATTAATGTACTAATCTTCCATTTTTATATTATGGCACGTCTAGCAGTAGCCTTACTACCAAAGGCAGTGCATCCCATTACTGGAGCTTTGCTTATACCATGTCCCTGTGTGTGAATGGCACTATCATCGCATCCAAAAAGGGAAAGAGTTTAAGCCTATTTTGTTCTGATTCTGCCTGTGTATATTGAAATTCCTTTCAATTTAACTTGAGCAAATCTGTAATGTTAGATGAGCTAATTAAATGGCATTAAACCCAGATGAGAAAATTATTAAAGCCCAGTCCATAGCCACTGCATTGAGAGAGCACTGTCCTTCTAACCTAATTAATACAGTTACGGTACTTAATAAAGTTTTCACATTGCTTCTTTATTCCTATCAGTCACAACTCTCTCTGTGCCCTAGCACATCTCTTTATATTTGATTTCTGTATTCTTCAGAGGGATTTGTTATTTTGGCAGTTGTACAAATTTCTCACCAGTTTCCTTCGAGTGTCATACGAGGAATTTAAGACAAGCAGAAATGCATTCCCTTCACACTCCTTGACTTACACATATAGCAACCTAAAAGTAGCAAGGAGGGAGCTGTGAAAAAGACCACATGTGGCATGAAAAGGCTGTACATTTCTAAAACACTTTATCTTTCACACAATGAACAAAAACAGTTCAAACTTTCCTTCCTGCAATGCAAGCTGTATCAGTCTACATATTGCCTTGTAACTCTCCTCAGCAGAGAGACCAATGTAGCACAACTCTTGCCTGGTTGCAAAATACACGACTACGGTAGGCAGGTCTTGGCTAAAAGAACTTGGAAGAATGAAACAGTAGGGAGAGGAGAAATAGAGACAATGCTGTATGTTTGCCATCTTGTTTTTAAGGTCAAGGTACATTAGAAAACTGCTGTTTCTACATTAAAAATATATTACTACCATTTCTCAAAGCAGACTGGCGTGGGTTGCAGAAAGGATTCAGTTAGCAATGACTGCAGTTTTTAGAAACACTTTCCCACATTTGTCTAAATGTATCCACCTGCGCATTATTGCTTCTGTCAATTAACTCTACTTTCAAGATATTTACTGAAAGTTCTTTCTGAATTCCCTATAAAACGTTTTAAAGTAGGTAGGTGGCTAGTTTAGTAAAGTGTGCAAAGTTTTAAGTTGTAACTCCAATGCATATGCCTTTCTGGGTATAAAATCAATCTTAAAATCACTCATTAATTATGCCACTTGTTTGTGTGCCTGTGTAGTGTAAAGAAAGAAATGCATATTGTGAGCAAATTAAGGTAGCAACATGTCAAAGAACACTTAATAGAGAGAAAGAAAAGATACAGGAAGGAAAGACATGGGTGGAGGTTCACAACACCTGCTGTTCATTTGTTTATTTTGCAACATCTTCACGCTCTTCCATGCATATATTTACCATCGCAAGTAGTGTATCTGGCACTCCATAAGGAATCAGCCTAAATATTGTAAAGGCACTAGACCACATCTGGTCTTCAGTTCTGGAATGAATTTTAGGGTTGGAGTGAGAGCACACCTGAAATTAATTCCAGAATTGGGCTGTGTTAAAGGACCTAAACATCCTAAAAACACCGGATTTTGTCTCATTTTGGAAGCTAAGCATGTTCACTGTGGTTAGTACTTGAATTAAAAGCTGCTAATAAACATCAGGTGCTTTAGGCCATATTTCAGAGAAAGGAATTGGCAAACTATATCAGTATTTCTTGCCTAAGAGTGGCTTTACGCAGACACTATAATTCCGTTTGGGCATGGATTAAAACAAACCAATTTCACTAGACAGCACCTAAACACCCAGGATGAGGTTGGAACTGTGGCCATAATATCCATTGATTGCAGATTGGAACCTTAGACAGCCACCAGAAAATGTGCGTGTTTTCCCATTAACCAGTCTGCTGAGATATGCTGATGTGCATATCCATATCCTTTGGGGATCAGTGCTCTATAGGCCTGGGTAACAACGGAAAAATTTGTTTCTAAAATCGATTCGTTTTTTGGGGTTTTTTGCGTTTCGATATTTAAAAGAATTCCGAAATTTTTCTTTTAAAAAGTTCGATATTTACGAAATTTCGTAAATGTTAAAAAAATTACGAAACAGTAACGAAACAAATACGAAACAATAACGAATCGATTCGTTAATGGCGGACGCGACCGCGCAATACGCTAAAAAACCTCCAAATGGGACAGGGGGAACTTCTGAAGCTTCCCTCTCCCTCTGTTGTTGACTGTTGGTGTGATATTATAATTTTTTTTCACTAATTAAACAAAAACAACTATAAAACTTGCCCCAGACATGCGGAAATAATAACGAAACACCTCAAACCGATAACGAAACGAATACATAACGAATCCGAAGCATTTACGAAACGAATTTAAAAATTCGTTTCGTTTTTAAGTTGCTCCAGAATGGTTCGTTATCGCTTCGTTATAAAAAAATAACGAATTTTTAACGAATTACGAATTAACGAAACGAAACCGCCCAGCCCTAGTGCTCTACTGTGGCACAGCACAAGGAATGAGAATAAAGGGGGCAGAAAGGAAGCATTTCCACAGGGATTGTGTGGTTTTCTCTCCAGGGGGAGAAATTGTTTACCTTGTGGCTAGCTGTGTTTTGGCTTTTTTAAAGTGTTTCAGTGCTAGGGGTGTCCTGACAACTGCTCCACATTTTCCAGTCCCAATTTTGAGCCATGCTTGAGATATATTGTGGTCAACTTCAGCAAACTTTCTGTCTTATTCTGGACTTTCTGGTGAGTTTTTTAAAAAAAAATACTGAAAGTTTATTAACCTCTACTTTGAATCACTGAAAACTGGTTAGTTTTTGTTCTAAATGGATATACATAGATTATACATGTGTTGTTTCAGAGCAGATATTTTTCAAAGAAAATAATAGAATCATAGAATCAAAGAGTTGGAAGAGACCTCATGGACCATCCAGTCCAACTCCCTGCCAAGAAGCAGGAATATTGCATTCAAATCACCCCTGACAGATGGCCATCCAGCCTCTGTTTAAAAGCTTCCAAAGAAGGAGCCTCCACCACACTCCGGGGCAGAGAGTTCCACTGCTGAATAGCTCTCACAGTCAGGAAGTTCTTCCTCATGTTCAGATGGAATCTCCTCTCTTGTAGTTTGAAGCCACTGTTCCGCGTCCTAGTCTCCAAGGAAGCAGAAAACAAGCTTGCTCCCTCCTCCCTGTGGCTTCCTCTCACATATTTATACATGGCTATCATATCTCCTCTCAGCCTTCTCTTCTTCAGGCTAAACATGCCCAGCTCCTTAAGCTGCTCCTCATAGGACTTGTTCTCCAGACCCTTTATCATTATAGTTGCCCTCCTCTGGACACATTCCAGCTTGTCAATATCTCTCTTGAATTGTGGACACAATATTCCAGGTGTGGTCTAACCAAAACGGAATAGAGAGGTAGCATTACTTCCCTAGATCTAGACAACAACAATACAACAATACAATAAGCCTTTATTGGCATAGCATGGCAGAAGGTATAAAAACATAGTACACATAATAAAAGGGGCTTCTCGTTTGCTACACATTCAGTTTGCAGACTTCATTCAGGAATCTTGCCACTGAAAGGCAGCAGCTAAAGTCCTGGCAATTTAAAAGCAAAATCACTTTGTCAGAATCGCTGCGGTTCTTCAGTGAATCTATGGCTTGTGTTAGCAGGCTGGATCTTAGCTCCTGGTAGAGTGGACAGTGCAGGAGAATATGCGGTATGGAGTCTAGCTGTCCTGTGCTGCAGAGGCAGACCCTCTTGTCGCTCGGGAGGCCATTGAGTCTTCCTCTATGGAGCGGCGATGGCATGATGTTAAATCTAGCCAGCATGTAGGCTCTTCTGTAGGAGGGGTTGGTGAGCTCTGTGATGTAAAAGGCTGGATTTCCCTGTGTGTATGGGATTGCCAAGTTAATAGGTGAGCAGGATTTGTTTGCCAAGCTCAACAATTGGTTGTGGTCCCTTTCTAGCAGCCTCCTTTTGATGAGGGTAAAAATCTCGGTAAAAGATAGTAGAGTCAGGAAATCGCTGTCGTAGCCCAATTCCCCGATCTTTGCTAGGACAGTTGAGCACCATTTGGAGTGGTGGAGTTCGCGCAAGGTGAGTTGAGTCAGAGAGTCGCTGGGACTTTGATAGTGTATAGATAGCCAAAATTTAATGACGGTTAGCCAGATAGTAGCCTCAATAGAATATTGCCCAGATTCAAGACAAAGAACTGCATACGGGACACAGTTGGGGGCACCATATAGTTTGTGGAGGAATTTCGAATGAAAAGATCTGATGGCGCTGTTATTGGGGGTTAACCAGATGGGTGCTCCATAGAGAAGTTGTGACATCGCCTTTGCTTTGAAGACTTGCAGAGCTAGGGGGATATATTGGTTACCCCTGGAGTGGAAGAACCTCCTGGTCGCACTGCCACTCGATTTGGCCCGGGCCAGTGTATATTTTAAGTGGGTGGACCATGACAAGTTGTTGCTAAACCAGAGACCTAGGTATTTGAAATGTTTTACTTGCTCAATATAATGGCCCTTTATCTTCCAGACTTGTCTTTTGTTGCTTTTCCCAAACGCCAAGATTTTGGTTTTATCGTAGTTCACCTGCAGTTCGTTCGTCTCGCAAAAATCAACAAATTTATGCAGGAGTCTTTTTAAGCCCACATGAGAGAGGGATAATAGGGCTGCATCATCCGCAAATAGCAAAAGGGGGACATGCTTTGGGCCAATCTTGGGGCTATGCCCGTCAACTTGATCCCTAGATCAACCCTAGATCTAGACATTATGCTCCTATTGATGCAGGTCAAAATCCCATTGGCTTTTTTTTGCCGCCACATCACATTGTTGGCTCATGTTTAATTTGTTGTCCATGAGGACTCC